CTCCTCCCTCTCTCTCTGTGTCTCTCCGCCTCGCCGCATCTCCCTCCGGATGCCGGTGCCTTCAGACGCGCCGACTGCTGGAGGACATCCAGATCCTGGAGTCGCGCCAGCAGCAGTGTGAGGATCAGCTTCGCCGGGCACCAACCCTCAGGCTGTCGCGCGATGTCGACATCCTCACCGTGGAGACGGTGGCCGAGCAGCTGGTCCTGTTGCTGAACAATGTCTTCCGGAGCGTGGTCGCCGCCGGTACGCGTGTCAGTCTGCCAGCCTCTCCCCCCTTGCTTGGGCGCCCTGCCTGACCTGTCGGTTCCTTTCTCGGTGTCCATGCACGCCGGCCTCCCCCGAATGGGCCTGCGCCTTGCCATGTGCTTGCATCGGTCCGCATCGCCGGGACAGACGTTGTCCACCTGGCCAAGGTCCTGGGCGACGCGCAGCTCTCCTCGGCCAGCAACACGGCCATCCCGCTGTTGGTTTTGGCTCGGCACATCCGCCGGTGGATCCAGTCGGAGATCCTGCCCAACCTCATGCAAGAGCCGGGGTCCGCGTCTGCCAGCCCCAAGGGCCGGGGTGCCATCATCGACTTCTTCTGCCGGGTGGCGGTGCATTGTTACTACAGCCTGTCCTGCTATGAGGCCTCGGCCATCGTGTCCGAGGCGCTCCTGTCGATCCCGATCAAGCGCCTGAAGAAGTCCTGGTCCTATGTCAACCCGAAAACAAGTCAGGTGCGATGCCTGTCCCCTGTGCACGGCTGCCCTTTCTGCGGCTTTCGTTGCCGATCGCATGCGCCGCATGCGTGCGCGCGCACCTCCCCCCCCCCCCCCCCCCCCCCCCCCCCCTCTTTTCTCCCCTGTCCGGGCATTTGCCTCTGCCGCTTTGTACTTCGCACCTTGCACTGACTGTCGATGCTTGGCCGTGTGTGCCCCGCTCCGATGCAGGCCTTCTATGCCATGCGCGACCAGATTTCCATCGAGACCAACTACGCTGGGCTTCGCCTGGACTTGAGCCAGGCCCCGCTGCCGGTCCAGGTATGTGCACATTTTGGCCAGCATCACCACGCACACAGCCGCACGGGCGAGGAGCCGAGCAGGCCGGCCAGCATGGGCGCCCCCCCTCCCTCGCCCCCCCCCCCTCCTGGCACCCTGCTGCGGTCCCTTTCGCTGGCCACTCACCTCTCGGGTTCGATTCCAGCCCTACATCGGCATGTACCTGCATGACTATTCGCTGGCGTCGCTCAGCCAAGATGAGATGGTGTCCTTCTCGGACCATCTGGGCCGGCTGCAGCAGGTCCCCTATCACCAGCTGTCGGTGCAGCTGCTGGTGCATCACTACATCCTGACCCGGCCGACGACCAGCCCTCCGACGGCCGGGGGCTTGCCCTTCAACTTCGAGCTGGACATCTACCGGCGGTCGATCGTGGCCGAGGCCCTGAACAAGGGGGAGACCGACTACTCGCAGTCGACCCTGGCCAAGAGTGGGTCTTTCATTTCGGACGAAATTTACGAGTCTGTGCTGGGGCGGCTGGAGCGCGCGGCGGTGCCGGCGGCGGCTCCGGCCCCGGCGCCGGGGTCCTCGCCATCTGGGCCGGCGCCGGCCGACGAGCCGCCGAGCCAGCCACTGCCAAGCTGGCTGCTGGGTGCGACGGCCTCGACATCGCCGAGCGCCGCCGGCACCGGCCATGCATCGGGCTCGTCGTCATCGTCGTCGGTGGTGTCCGCGACTGGTGCCGCCGGGAAGCCGGCGTCCAGCACCGCCGCCACCGCCGCCGCCACCACCACCACCACGGCCGCCAGTGGCGCGCCGAAGCGCATGTTCACCACGCCGAGGATCTCCCCGCATAGCAGTCAGCTGGGCATGGAGCCGGCCGGGTCCATTCCCATGGAGCCCCTGCGTGATGTGGGGAGCATCACCCCGGCGGCGGGCTCGTCGCTGGAGGAGTGGAGCGAGCTCGGGTCCCCGGAGGCCGGGAAGCTGGAGCAGCTGGCGGCCGACGAGGCCGGGCTGGGGCCGGGCGAGTCGTCGCAGCTCCCCCCGCCGCCGAGCTACAGCCACTCGGCGCATGGGTCGCCGCTCGGGGATGAGGGGCACATGGCCGCGTCTCGCCGGGCGGCCGATGCCGATGCCTTCGCCGCCGGGGGATCCACCGCCGAGGCTCCGGAGTTGGAGATGCTCCTGGGGCCGTCGTCCTCGTTGTCGATCAACGGCGATGCCGGCACTGACAGCGACGAATAGTGCGCGTGTGTGTGTGGAGAGGCCAAGGAGGGCATTGTGTCCCGCCCTGGTCCGCTTCCTCCCCGTCCTTGTGCATGGCGAGCGAGACCCGTGGTGTTTCTCGTGGCGCGAGGGGGGGGGAGGGGCGAGAATATACATACACACCCCATGCACACGCACGCTCACGCGCAAGCATTTTTTTAATGCATGTACCATTTGTAAATATGTGTTTTATGTCCGACGGAGGGGCGTACATGGAAAAAATGGCCCCGCCTGCGTGTGTATGCGCGCAAGGGGGCATCCTCGGGAGAGAGCATGACAGGGTCGCGTCTCCGGGGCCGGGCCGTTGCCGCCTCGTCAAGATGCCACACATCGGCGTGTGTACGTGCGTGCGTGCGTGCGTGCGTGCGTGCGTGCGTGCGTGTGTGTGCGTGTGTGTGTCTGTGCGTATGGGTGTGCCCGGTGGTCGCGGCGGGAAACGCCGCGCCCCCTTCGTTGGCACTCGGTGGATGGGGCAGGTGGTTGCTCGGTCAGGCAGGAGACAGGGCCCGGGGCGGGGGGGGGGGGAATGTGAAAAGGCAGGGGCCTTCGGGCCCGGGTGTGCTTCGCATCCCCAGGCATATGAGTCCGGGGTGCGTGCGTGTGTGTTTCGGCCGGGCATGCCTGGAGCTGAGGCGCCGGCGGTCGCCCTGCCGATCAGCCGGCCTGGCCAGCATTCCGTCCCGAGCTGGGGGGGTGGGTGCGGGGGCGAGGGTTGGCGGTGCGTGCGCTTCGGCCTGCCGGCCAGGGCCGGGGGAGGGATGCCAGGTGCGTGGGCGCGGCTCCGGTCCGGACAACATCGCCCCCCGGACGGCGTGTGGACCGGGATCCACATCCGACGGCGGTGCGGGCATTTTTCTCGGGCCCCTTTCCGTCTTGGGGTGGAGCCGCGCCAGGGGGCGACGGTGACGAGGCCCAGCTCGGTGGGTTCTTTTTTTCGGCCGCCTCCCCAGGCCGGGCCGGGTCCCCACCGCTCCCTGCCCCGTGCCTTGCTTTCGGCCCCTGCGGCTCGGCCATCTATGCGTGTGGCTCCTCTTCCGCGCCCCGGTGGATGGTCCCCTTGGCGCGCTGGGCGCGCCCTCCTCTCCCGGGTGTTCTGCCCGGCTTCTCTTCGGGCCGGCTGGGCATTCTGGCGCGCCTTCCGGCCCCCCTCTCGCCCCGCACACCAGTGCGCCCCGGCCGGCGACTCGCGCGCGCGCGCGCGCGCGCGCGCGGAGTGATGACTGGATGGGGTACGTGTTCGGCGCTTGAGATCGCGTCCGCGCGAGCGCCTCGAAAGGATCCCTGCATTCTCCCGGTTGCCGCGGTCAGGGGTAATTTATCGCTTTTTACGGGCCGCTGGCCCTGCGCCGCCCTCCGGGGCGGGGGGGCCGGGAGACAGGAAGGTTGCCACGGGGTCGCGCTCAATCCCGGGGCGGCGACCGCGGGTGTCGCCGCGCTGGCGCCCTGCTTTCCTGGTTGATGGCCGAGCGGCGCCGCCCGGCCTGGCGGGCGGAGTGGCCCGTTGGCATTTGTGCAACTCTCGCCCGCCAGGCACCTGGCCGCCCCCCCTCTCGCGCCGTTCTCGACCCACAGATGGACGCGTGCCCTCGCCTCGCGCGGCCTCGCCTGTGCCGTGCGGCCGGGGGCCGGCCCGACGGCGGTGATATGACGCCCCCGGGTGGGAGGCTCCCCCGCCCGCGCCCGCGCCCGCGCCCGCGCCCGGGCCGAGCCGAGACAGTCCGACGCTGGCCGGGCCTTGTCCGGGCCATGCCCGCCCCTCCGCCCGGCTCTCGCGCCGCGATCGTCGGCGTGCGGTCACGGCCCCGGGGAGGGGGGCAGGCGTGTGGCGACCCCGGGGCGGGCCTCCGTGCCCCGCTGCCGGCGGCGACCGGCCGCACGCGATCTCGCCAGCGGGCGCCCTCCGGCGAGACCCGTCGCACTGATCCCGCCGCACCGGCGCCCGATGACTCAGAGTACTTGTATATGAAACGCCCGGGCCGTGTGGCACGGCTGCGCCCCACACGGCCCCCGCTTCCTGTGTCCCCCCCCCCCCCCCCCCCCCCCCCCCCCGCCCCCCCCGCAGCGCCCGGCGCCCGGTGGGGTCCCCTTGCCCGGCTGACATGACGGCGCCATGGCGGGGGGGTGGCCCCGGAGGACGAGCCGGCCGGTCGCAATTCCCAACGAAGCATGCTCCCCGCTCCCAGACCCGGGGCCGGCACGCGGGAGGGGGCGGCGGGGGGGGGGGGGGTTGCTCGCGCGAGCCAGAGGGGCCCGGCACACGCAGGTGTGTCTGTGTCCACGGCCGCGATTAGAGAAGGAGCGAGGCGCACACACGCGCACGGACACACACACACACATGCAGCCCGAATGCGCAGGGGCGCCCCCTCGCACATCCGCGGTGTCCCCGGTCAGTTTGCCCGACGCCCCTTTGTTTCCGCCCGCCCCCTGCAGATCGAGAGGTGCCGCAGCGGCCCGGTGGCCGCCGGTGTGGGGCTGCCGAGGCCCAGGTCGGAGGCGTTGGGGTCCATCCCCCCGGCGGGGGGGGCCGGAGGCTGGCCCAGGGAGGGTGCATGTACGGGCCGAGCCCCGGACATACGCGACGCCCGGCCGGATGGTCGCGCACCACAGGGGAATATGCCCGGGAGTGGCCTGCTCCGTCGGCCCTCCCCTCGGTTGCATCTTCGCGCACTCTCGCGACAAGACGAGTCGACGGGGGTGTTCTTTGGCTGGCGCCCCTGTGCTCTGCTGAGGTGCCCCCCCCCCGGGTCTTGGTGTGCGGGGGCACGCGCCCCTGCCGACGCGCTGGGCAGGCGGGGCGAGCAGGGGGCGCCCCCGGGGGCACACAGGCGGCGGCCGCGGCGGCCTGGACGGCTGGTCGCCACTCGCGCCGCCAGGGGCGGCGGATCTCCACCCGGATCGGCCGCTTCTGTTTTTTGTTGTTACCACCGGGGTGCTCCGTGGCCTTTGTTGTTTGTTCCTGGTATGCCCCTTCTTTTCTCCCTGAGCCGTCCCCCCATCATCCGGGCGACCGCTGGTTCGGGCTCCGCCGGGCCGGCGGTCCCCCCCCCCCCCCCCATTCGGGATGCCTGCGCCGGCTGCCAGTGGCACGAACACACACACACACACACACACACACACACGCACACATTGTGATCCTCCCCCTCTCCTCTCTCTGGCCCCCTCTTCCCCTCCTTCTCGCTCCCTTTCCGTCGCCGGCCAGCTCTGCCCGACAGTTGAGTGGGCGTGCCCCAGTGCGTTGTCTCGGGCCAGACTCAGGCATTCCCTCTCCTCCTCTCGTGTATTCCCCTCCCCACGCGATCGTCCTAGCCATTTCTCGCCTTTCCCTGGACCCGGTCACCTTCCTTCCTTGCCCCCCCCCCCCCTCTCTCTC